GCCTGGGCGGCGATGCCGTTTACGACATGCACAAAATGAAGTTATCATATGGGGACGGAGGGGATGGGGACGGAGGGGATGGGGACGGAGGGGATGGGGACGGAGGGGATGGGGACGGAGGGGATGGGGACGGAGGGGATGGGGACGGAGGGGATGGGGACGGAGGGGATGGGGACGGAGGGGATGGGGACGGAGGGCGGATGGGGACGGAGGGGATGGGGACGGAGGGGATGGGGACGGAGGGCGGATGGGGACGGGAGATCGCTCACTGGGACGAACACAGGTACGACCCCATGATGTCGTACGACGTGATGTCGTACGATGTGATGTGCAGTATGATATACCCCGTCTGGGTTGTCTGGTTTCCCTTCGTGACCTCTCCTGCACCTTCCTAGGTGCCTTTGCGAACTAGAGGGCGGCTGGGGAGGAGACGGAGGAGCGCCCTTGTGGGGGCCCTTGTGAAGGTAAACGTGAACTCCAGGACCATTATAGCACATCGGGGGGGCGTGTATCTAGAAGAGGAGCGATTTGAATGTACACGTATATATATATGTATATATATGTATAGGTGTATGTATGTCCACCCAAGCCGACCTCATAGAATCTTCCAGGTGCTGTCAAGCGCGGAATCCTGGCTACATGTTCCGACCCCAGGCCTGGCCCACAACACCACTAACGAGCCCGGGGCCCATACACAACATTCCGATTGCATATCCTAGCTAGGCCATTTGTGGCCTGATCCAGATTCGAACATGCGATTTTGTAATCACTTATCCTCTTCCTTAAGGATTCGCGCTTTTCTAGCGTCGAAAAGGTTAGCTACAGCTACAGCCACAGCTACAGCTACGGCCACAAAAGGTCTGCAACCTGCCGCCACGCGCAGCAGCAGCAGCTACTGGTACTGGTAGACAGCTACAGCCGCCATACAAGGACCTATCCGTACCTGTATGAGTCACTCCACTCTCGTCCATGCAACATGCTCATCCACATCTACATATCTATCTACATATCTATCTATATATCTACCCCAAACAAACATCTTATCATATGTCCGGAGAACCCCCTCCCCGACCAATACCCGCCCACCACCACCACCACCACCACCACCACCCGAACCCACCTCTGCTGGCAGCTCCTCGCCCATCTCCTCCTCCTCCATCTCCGCCTCCTCCCGGTCGGGCCCCGCAGGCAACTCGTCCTCCTGTGCCGGCCCCTCGTCCTCAGCAGCCACCTCTGGCACGGCGCCAGCCCCCTCCTCCTCCTCCTCATCATCATCATCCAGTACAACGACCTCAACATCATCATCAACATCATCATCAACATCATCATCATCAACATCATCAGCAGCAGCGGACCTAAGAATCCTGGGGGAAAAGCCGGCGGCCGCAGCCCCACCGCGCCGGCCGCGGCCACGGCCGCGTCCACGGCTGCGGCCACGGCCATAACCTGGGCCACGCATGCCACCCCGGCTACCCCGCCCGCGGCCGCGGCCTCGGCCCCGGCGTCCACCACCACCACCACCACCACCACCGCGACGGCCGCGGCCACTGCCCCGGCGCATCACCGAACCTCCTGTTGCGTTGGCCAGAGTTTATCATTAGCAGCATCAGCATTAGCAGCAGCCGGGAAAAGAAAGAGTCAGAGCCCCAGAAACTCCAACTCACCCTAAAGTTAACCCACCCGAAAATTCCTGCAAATGAGAATGCGGACACCGCCAGCCACCCACCCAGATAATCAGTTAGTTACTACCCCCTTCTTTCACTACATGCTGGCTGGCAGCCCACACCCATCCGAGGAGTGGAGGAGTGAAACGGAAACCCTAGGGTTATAGCTTTGGAAAGCAACAAAAGGCCCAGAAAACCATCCCTGCCCTGATGACTGTCAGGAAACGGATTGGGATTCTGTCAGGAGAGGTTATTACTTTTTGTGTGTGTTGCCCAGGCATCCCAAGAGGACGCAGCTACTGCCACCATTATTAAACATACGTACATACACGTACACATACACATACCTTCCCTGCCGCGCTCCTCCTCCTCCTCCTCTTCGTCGCCGTCATCATTATTAGGAGCAGCAGCCGCAGCGTCATCAGCGGCAGCAACTTCTTCGTCGCCCGCCTCCTTCCCGCCGCCGTCTCCTTCCTCCTCTTCCTCTTCCTCATCATCATCCTCTGCCGCCGCCTCGCCGTCGTCGTCCTCCTCGTCGACCTCCATGTCCGCCGCTGCGCTGTCACCAGTGCCGGTGCCCGAGTCCCCTGCGCCCCGCTCCCCCTCCGGGTCTTCCTCCCCTTCATCTGCTACTGCTGCTGCTGCCACTGCTGCTGCTGCTACTGCTGCTACTGCTGCTGCTTCCTCCTTACGGCTGTTGCCGCTGCCGCCATCATCGTCGCCGTCATCACCACCTTCTTCATCGTCGCTGGCAACAGCCTCCCTGGCGCCGACTCTTTCAGGCCCAGCCCTGCCCCGACGACCCCTGCCCCTGCCCCTCCCGCGCCCCCGCCCACTCCGACCCCGCCCCCGCCCCCG